GGATCCTATAGGATTGTGCCAATGTTGTTAAAAAGGTGTTTACAGTGTAGATGTATTCTGTTCATGATGATTTATTTCTCCCAAGTTGCTTTGAGAACCTTTTCCACTTCACTTCCCAGCATTGTAGTTTCTTCCTTCAAGGAACCTATCATTGTTTTATCTCTTTTATACAGTTCCTCAGTGCATTGCTTCAATTCCCTTTTTATGCACTCCTGATTATATAAACATGTGGGGTTGGGGGGCATACGTCATCCCTACTCTTGGTTTGAATTGCCCCTTAATTTCTGAAATTGGTAGGGATAAGTATCTTGTTCTATTTTCTTGTTGTTCATCTGCCTATTTACATTCATATATCATAGTAATTCTCATTGTCCCTATGCACAAGCCATTGAACTGTTGCATTCATTGAACTGTTTCTGTCACCTTCCTTTTTGCGTCTTGTCTGTCCTGAACTGCTTCTGATCTGGGTTGTTGTAGGTTTTTTCGGGCTATATGGCCATAGTCTAGAGGCATTCTCTCCTGACGTTTTGCATGTGGAGAATTTCAACAGAAAGGAGGAAACCATGAAAATGAACAAAATCTGGCCACCAGTATTAAAAAAAACTCTAAAATCACAACAACAAAACTACATAGAGGAAACAACCTGGGACAGCTAATCACCTCTCAACAAAAGATTCCCCCAGGCACTAACAAGCCACACCAAAAAAAACTGCAGGGCCATCAAAAAACTCTAAAATTACAACAGCACAACAACAGAGAGGAAACAAACAAGGACATCTAATCACCTCTCAACAAAAGTTTGCTCTAGGCACTGTCAGGCCATTATATGCTAATCAAGGTGGTCAGTTGAAACATTCACACCTAGCTCCAGCAGACAAGAGTCCTTTGTCTCACCCTGGTCATTCCACAGATATATAAACCCTTTTTCCTATTTCCAACAGACCTCACTACCTCTGAGGATGCTTGCCATAGATGCAGGCGAAATGCAGGAGAATGCCTCGAGACCATGGCCATATAGCCCGAAAAAAACCTACAACAACCCAGTGATTCTGACAATACATTGCTTCTGATCTGTCATCAAAAAGCATTTCTTCTTCTTTATTTTTGGCTAGAGATAGTCGCTTTTGCATTCCTCCTTGACAACATCTCTGGTTTCAGTCCAGAGTTCTTCTGGTTCCCTAACTAGCATAGTATTGGCAATACATGCTAGGAAGGCTATGTCATTGAACTTAATGGGCTGACTTTTGTGTAACTTTGCATATATGTGCATTATAAGTAAATAGGCAAATAGCTTTCACTCTTTCCTATGGAGAAAAATAAATAAAGGGTCATATTTAGGAAGGGCATGACATGGAGGGAATTTATCTATGTGGACTATTTACATTGCATCTTTGCACTGAAATATCCTCAGGATGATTTACAACAGCATGTTGTAATGCAATATGCACTCATAAATAACTGCAGACTTGGAAGAGAGACAAGAGCATCAGGTTTAACTGCCTGCTAGTACAAGACCCCACATTTAAAGCATCCCTGAGAGAGGGCCATCCAATTTCCCTTTAAAAACCTTCTGTGAAGGAGAATCTATCACTCTCTGAGGCAGTCTGCTTCAGTGTCGAACACTGTATTGTAAGACAGACATACTTTAGAGCGGGAGTCCCCACTCTAAGGCCCACAAGCTGGCTGCAGCCCTCTAGGCCATTGGTCCAGCCCTCTTCACTTCAGACTTAGGATTGCTTTAAATTTGAAACAACTTGAAGGCATATAACCACAATAATCCTAATTAGCTTGAATATTTCATCAGCCAAAAGCATGTCCAGACTCCCCACTGAAATACTGGTAAATTTATGTTGGTTAAAGTTGTTCTCCATTTCAAATATTGTATTGTTCTTTCTTCTCTTTTTTTTTTTTTGCACTATGTATAGGATATGTGCAATGTGCATAGGAATTTGTTCATGTTTCTTTCAAACTATACTCTAGCCCACCAACAGTCTGAGGGACTGTTAACTGTCCCTGTGCTTTAGAGAAATACATCTCAAAGTATCTTTGTCTCCTGGGTGACACCAGAGCATATACTTCCACCTTGAAATCTCAAAACAAAATCTCTACCATTACACAGAGTAAGAAAACAACCTAATTTTTCAGACGCTCTAGACCAGAAGTTCTCAAAGCTGCAGAGCCCTTTTTGAAGTGAAAGCTTCTTGTGGAGCCCCAAGAAATGTTTAAGTATATTATATTATATTATTACATCTATATATATCAGGCATGGACTGGGTCAGTGGCAGATGGATGGAGAGTGTTTGTGTGAACTAATTTACACAATCAAAAAAGGGAAAGTAAGAATAATACAAAATTAAAAATGAAGAACAATTTCAACCAACATAAACTTAACAGTATTTCATTGGAAGACCTCTGCAAGCATCTGGTTAACCCCCTTCTGCCATGCAGGAAAAACACAATCAAAGCCATCCAGCCTTTGTAATAATAATAATAATAATAATAATAATAATAACAACAACAGAAACACCAGAGGCCATCCTATCCAACCCCCTTCTGACATGCAGGAAAAACACAATCAAGGCACCTCCAACAGATGGGCATCCAGCCTTTGTAATAATAATAATAATAATAATAATAATAGCAGAAACCCCAGAGGCCATCCCTCCAACCCCCTTCTGCCATGCAGGAAAAACACAACTAAATCACCTCCTGAGTGGTGGGAGGAAAATAGAATTTTGGAAACAAAGAAAGCATGGTGGGAGATTGGCAGCGAGAAAAAGAGTTTAGGTGGCAAGGGAGAAAGGGTCTGTGCTCCAGGAGAATGCTGCTGCTGTTGCTTCTGGCAGCTCAAAACTTTAATTTCCCTTCATTTCTCAGGAGGAGGAAAGAGAAGGAAGCAGCATGAGCTGCAGAGTCCCTCACTATCACCCAAGGAGCCCAAAGGGCTCTGTGGAGCAAAGTTTGAGAACCCCTGCAGTAGACAATGGCATGCTCTTGACCTATTTCCCTGGAGAAGCACTCAGAAATTTTATTTTGGGGCTACAACTACTAGAATTCCCCAACCAATCATCAAATATGTAACTTTCCCAGTGCCTGAGCACTCTGTCATCCCCTTCTTTTGGAAGAAAGAAATAGTGGTTCCATGTGCTTCTGTTGAATTTTCTTAATTTAGCCTGCTTCCCTTCTTTAACAGACAACAGTCTCCCTATTTGGGAAAGTGGGCACTTTAATCAGCTTCTGCTCTTGCAATGGAGCATGTGGTACCTTATCCTTTGTTTCAGATATAGAAATATGCTTGGCCAGCCTAGAAAAACAACTAATACTTGGGACTAAGAGATCTTTCTGGCAAAGGGGAAGAGAGGAAGTTCCCTACATCCACTCCTCCTTTGACTGGCAGATTGAGTTCAGATGACCTTTCCCCTGACTTTTTTCTCTTTGTGTGGCCAAGGCTCTTGTCTTTGACTTCTTCACACACAACACAGAGAGACAGTGTACCTTTCTTATTACCGGAGCTCTTCTAGAAAGGCAGGATAATAAACCATATCATAGCTTTTGTTTATAGAAGCCCAGTGCCAGTTGATGTTAAAAGAATATCAGACATTAGTTTCCTTACTATCACTGTGTCTGATCAAAGCCAAGACTGAAGCTTTATTTATATATCTTCCAAGCTTTCCAGTGTCTTGTTTCCTGGAGTGGAAAGATGTCCATCTCAAACTGGTTTTTTGCCAGGATGCCAACTAATAACAATTCCTTCTCCTCTGTCTTCTCACCACCACCACCACCACCACCACCCCCACCCCACTCTTCTAGTTCTTCTGGTTTCTAATTCATAAATTGATTCCTCTACTTGTATCTATTATTTTCTGTGACCCAGTGATATTATTGTGCTATGTTTTACACATAAAGACAGCAATAGTAATTCATCATGTTTTATCTTTGAAATGTGTTCAAAAAGGGGTAGATGCTGTACTTTGGGGATGCGGTAGTCAGGAAATACTTTAAGCAACTGAACAAAGAGCAATCTTTCAAAACTATTCTCCGTGTATTAATTGCCTGGATCTCATTAAACTATTTTCAAATGTTCCACTCCATGTAAAAGAAGGAAGGGGAAAAAAAGAAAATTAGTAGAAGTGGAGATGAGCGAAGGGCCTCTGGCTAATAAATAACTTCTAAGCTAGAGAACTGCTACGTCATGGAGAAGTTCAGGATGTCTGGCTTTTTGCTTCCTAAGGTTTGCTCAACTCCCTCCTCCCACTCTTTGCTTCGTAGCTTTTAGACACAGCAGTGCTACCAAGACTGGCCAGGGATGCTGTTCTCTCCTTAATAAAAGCTTTGATTGATAACACTAATGACAGCCCCTTGAAACCAGGAAGTGTTAAACCTTTTCTTCTTTTTTTGGACCTATCTGTTTTGTAAGAATGCAACTTGCTCCAGGCAATGACAGCCTTTTAACAAAGCAAACATGCACCCTACAAAGAGACTGGTTTAAGTGGCTGTTATTATATGCACTCAAAAAGTAGTCAGCTGGCATTGCAATTGCCCTGGAAGGAGGTTACTAAGCAGGATCTACTAACCCAATTGTAATTCCCCTGAGATGTGGACCTGCATCTCCACCTTTGCTACCTGCTGTCCATCTCATGCAGGACCCAGATCGAAATGTCTTGTTGCTACATAGCATTAAGCACCTACAAAAACACATCCCTTTCTCCTTCTTTTATTGGCATGTGAAGCACGGGTCTGCAAACGTTTGGCAAGCATGATTTCTAGCAAGCAAATTGAAGGGGGGCTCCACAATCTCCTCCATGATTTTCTCCCTATCTCCCTTCCACAAATAAAGGACATTAAAAGCAGCATTTCCCTGAATCACAGCATAAAGGCATATTGGATCTCTCAATGAATTGCACCTAGCATACCACTCTTTATCCCCTCTGTAGTTTATCTTTAAATCAAGGGAGTGTGTGTGTGTGTGTGTGTGTGACACAAATCACTGGAGAGAAACAGCTAGTTACCAAGGAGACCCCCAGATGAATCAGAGAGACGGACTTGTGTAAGATCCAGACATACTGTATCTTCTTAATTCATGAGACCATAACATTTTAAAGGAGGAGGAGGACAGAGAAGGAAATACAAGCCAAGTCTGAGAGGCATACTTCCCTCCCACATGAAAGGCAGCTCCTTATTGTTTTGCCGGGGAAAGAGGAATGAGCGAGTGGAGACCGAGAAGAGATGTAGAGAGGACTGAAGTGGAGATCCTCAGAAGCACTCTCTGATTCAGTGAAGAAGAAAAGACAGAAAAACACCACACAAGAACAAAGTGGTGGAGCTGACTGGGAGGAAAACAGGCAAAAAGCTGCTGTTTCTATCCAGGAGTGAAGGGGAAGTCAGTGAGCGCAGGAGAAGCATCGGCACTGCAACAACCCTGGTGTTTTCTGTGAATAAAAGCTGTGTTGTTTCCTCTTGCAATTTTATATTCCTAGAAAGAGAATGGAGGCACTGAGCTTTTTCTCAGAGTCCTTACACAAGGAAGGCTTGCTTGGATTTGACATCTGGAGTTCTCGGCTCAGTCTTTTTTGAAAGATGCCGGTCACTGTTTGAAACCCTGACACACAGCTTTACTCTCCATGCCTGTCACTTCTGCCCAGTTTCACCAAGCGGCAGATGAAGCAATGAATCTTTCAAAAGGAGCCTAAGACAGGGACAAGGACTCAGCTTCGTGGCAGTGCGTGAGCTCAGTGTTCCTTCCCAGCGAAAGGGAGTTACCAGAATGTCTGTGAAACATGTGAAAGGCTCAACCAACCGAAGAGATGTAAACACAACAGAAGGCGAGTGGAGTTTTCGAAAATGTGACAACACCAGGGAGCTTTGTCAAACAAAGTTTGGCCAAGGAAAGCTCGTCTTTGGTAGACTTGCTCGTTTTGATGGAGTTTCTTCTCTCCCAATGGATTGGCACTGCTTCTCCTTTTAAGAAAATTCTTGAACTTCTTCTCTCACCCCTACTTTGTTGTTTCCCCCACCCCTCTTGCTATAGAAACAATCTTTCAAAGAACAAACATATTTGGAATGGTGAGGGGAAAGCACAAATCCATTCTAACAACTGAATGTGAAGACTCACGAAAGCCTGCCACATGCATACATAACTTGATTTCTCTCCAAGGTGAAAACTACAGAAAAATGTAGATTAAAAGGAGGAAAATCTTGCCAGTTCCAGTTTGAAATCTCCATATTGGGAGCAGCCTGACTACAGTTGCTAAGGTAACCTGATCAATTAAAGATTATCTACTAGAGCAGGGTGTATGTAAATGTATGAGAGATCAGAATGTATAGAAGAGGCAGAGATTAGTTGCCACGATTGTTTATAGAAATGTCGTATTATTGAATTATACAGAGCACATTATCAAGCATATTTTGGGTGGGGAAAAATCTTCCTTAAGGTGGGAAACTTGTGTCATGAGGGTCACCAGGTTGTTAGTTAAGGATTCAAACAGAGGTCATCTTTTTAGAGGCAACTAATTTGAAGAGCTCTTTCATGACATGAGTTATACTCCCTTGTCTCAAAATGAAATTAGCTGCATGTAGCATTTATGATCCGAAACTAAAGGCTAACAAGATTAAAGTAATGATGTTTCAGTGCTGGGTATTATAAAGTTTACTGCTGGTTAAAATGAAAATAGGCTGGTTTAACTAGTGTGTGGCTTGGTCTGCAAATTTGGAGAAGAGAACCCTTTCAAAAAGATTGGGATTGGTAATAGTTAGTTGAAACATCCTCAGAATACTAAAGAGCTTTCAAGAACAGGTAAAAGCTTTACTGCCTGCTGGGGAAAGAATGCAAGAAAATTCCAAGCAGCAGCTGAAATCTAATTATGAATTCCCTATTGACCTGTTTTGTTTTCAGCTAATATATTATGCCAATATCTTAGGAAAGACTACAGGATCAGAGTGAAATGTGGCAGTTCATTATATGAGGTTCTTTTCAAGTGCCTTCTAGACTAAAATGAACAGAAAAGTATGAAGAAATACATCACACCTTCTGACTATAACAATATCTTCAGTTTGGGTGCCAAAGTTTTTCACAGACTTCCTCATATTTGTAATAGATGACAGTATGCGCATTTTTTTCTGATCTAGATTTACATTTGATTTGTATTTAGTGTCAGCAATAGTTTGGTGTGACAAACAACACCCCCACAACTAAACATACTGATTCAGAAGTAACTTCCACCAAATTCACTGTGACTCGTGCCTGCCTGATCCATTGCATGTTCACTCAGAAGTAAACTACTGTTGGGTTCAATAGGATTTACTTGCTCATAAACCAGGTTGCAGCTAATCTTAGACTCATTTAAAAACTTCTGCTTGCACCCTTGGTAGGAAATACTCCTTCAATTTTTGCTGTAAAACCTCTGCTTTGGAGAATGGCCATGACATGGATAGACATCAGAAAGATATGTCATCAGTTTTCTTGTGTTTTGACAACAAACCAATTTGGTTTATTTGATGGGGGAAGTCATATGACAGATGGAATGCTTTGGCGGTTTGCATCAAGGTCATGTACAAAAAAGAGGACTTTGTATCAGAGGAAACATTAGCCCTCTAGCTTACATTGAGTGAGTGAGAGTCTTGGAAATCTCAGTATTTCTTGTATCCTGTGCCAAGTTTACAACAATCTAAAAGTGATGAAAGTTAGGGCAATCTGAAGTTCAAGAAACCACAGGCTTGGACCAGGTTGTGCAGCAAGAGTTGATAACAATTGAAGTATAGGTACTAAGCTCAAGAAAACAAGTTGCACAATGAATAAATATCTAAAATGAGAAATATTACTTCATTTGTTTGCTTAAACATATTTGTATTGAGAGTTTACATGGCAGAACAGTAAATTATCTATCCAAACAACATTCTATGATTTGAATTGCAATCAATTACTATCAAATTCATACAACAGTGGACCATAAACAATATTCAAAGCATGCTGATCAAAATGTTTTGATTATGATAGCTTCCAAAATACCTGTTATTCCACAGAGAGCCAAATCTAAGATTAGCATGTGCCGTATATGTTATAAGTGGATCACATGGAACTTTAGAATTGTCTTCAAACATTTTGCTTCTGGCAAGTGGAGTTTCAGAGTTTCAGGGTCAGTTTCTCTAATAATGTGAGGTTCCACACTCCATCTAACAAGTGATGAATGGACAAGACTTCTAAGCTCTTCCAAGTCATTGCTATCTCCATCCCTGCTGTATACAGCAAGGTAGATTTAAGAGATTTCTATAAAGATGTTTTTTCATTTTTTAAAATAAATTGATATAAGCTAATATACAAGTGAGAAGGAATAAGTCACTTTGCAAATACAGTTATTACTTTGTTGTGGCCCAGTTCTATCTCCGTCTTTGTCAGCATTATAGGCACCTAATGAAGTAGTTTTATTGCTTACACATTTCAAAGCACATTCGCTTCAGTGGCAGCACCCAGCATCTTTTGTCTAATTTACTGATTCCATTAAAGTTCTGTTCTTTGAATACTTGCCTATTAAATGTATGATGATATCTGACTGTTTTATAAGAAACAAGCGGTAGGCACTTTTAATACACCTTCCGTTTGGGGATAAAAATTCTTCTCCCTGTATTTTCATTCTTTGCAAACTTTCATGCCACTTTAGTGGACATGAAAACTTTCTTAACTTGCCACCCAAATGAGTCCTTGGGTCCTTGAGAAGGAACATCATTGACGTCTCTGCTTTGCCTTCCAACAGCAGCAATCTAACTAATAAATGGCATATTAACCTCTTGCAAATCAAGGGATTAAACTGGCTTTGGAAGGTTTTGCTTGGCAACTGGCCCAAAGTGGGAAAGCTTCTGAAAGCCAATCAAGAGGCAAGCTCCCCATGCGCTGTGTGGTTGCTGCATGCTGCACTGCCTTACCAACAACTGACACGTGGATCCAGGTTCACTCATTCGAAAGGCAGGACATACAGTAGCAGGGAGAGCGTGCCCATTTGTGAACACCCTTTCCAGAGTATCACAAGTTTTATTTCAATGGGTTCTGGAAGAATCCCATTCCCAGCCTTGCTCTGATGCCGGAATATGTCACACCAATGCAAGCCGCATCCAACGAATGGGGGACATCACCAAGAAGACTCAACTTGCCTGACCCTCCAAAACACTGGTAAATCTCTCTCTCTCTCCTGCTCACTCTCTATTTTCTTCCCACAATCTCCATCTTTTTCTTTCTCTCTGCTTTCTTCCCTCTTTTAAAAATCTATCCCTAAAACCAGACATCATGCTTCAGGGCCATGGAGAGCACTCCACATTGCTGGATACATATTTTTCACAAAGGGCATAAAGAACACTTCTCAATCTGCAGTGTGTCTCAGAGAAAGAAAACATCAACATCATCACCATCATCATTATCATCATCTTGTTTATAAATTCTAGTCAAATGAAGGCTTAGTGCTGAAATTTGAAACGTGGGAAAGGTCATGCAAAAAGTGACAGATGGCTCATGTGTAAAAATGGCCTGCACAGAAACTTCTAAGAAGCTTCTAAGAGTCCTTTTCTAAAATGCTGATCTTCAGTGGAACAATAGGTATTGCATACAGTGGTGCCATTGGATGTTGAGATGACAGGTGACAAAATCGGGATGATGATGTTCCTGTTTGGCTGATTCTAACACAATTTACTCTTCTAAGGAAATTGGGAAGCACTGGTGGCAAAATTGTGAAAGGCAGAGGAGAAACGAGTGAATTCTAGGCAGGTCATTGAGAAGTGTAAATGTTTATGGTGTTGGGCATGGAAACATGGCAGTTCCATTAAACCTGAACCTGAGAGGTATTTTTACTATGTCTTTGGTCTTGGAAGTTCATCAATTCACATATTACACTTGGTTCAGACTATGCCACGATGAAGGAATATTATGTTGCATGTGGTCAAGAGTGCTTTAATATGCCATATATTCTGACATCTAACCTGAGGTTTATGTAAAGCTTAAATGCAATAAGTAAGCATGTTGATTCCTTGTCTACATATGATAGAACTTATTCTTATGTGATAGTCTCATTTGTGATGAGATACTATTCTAGAAATATCTCCAGATTCTAGTAGGTTCGTATCACGTGCACAGTAGTGGTGTGAGTAGAGTGTTGAGTCGACTAAGAAGATCTGGGTTCAAGCCATGTGAGGTTTGCAAATGAGAGCTTCTCTTGGAGGAGTCATGTGAAATGGGAAGGAAGGATCCAAAAACATCTAGCTGATAATGTCCCTGCATTCACTGGAAATCTTTAAATTGAGGTCCAGTGACAAAAATTCTGTCAACAGTGTTTCATCATTTCACACACACAGTTATTTATTCGTATATTTATTTATTTATTTATTATTTACTATATTTATATCCCACCCTTCTCAACCCCGTAGGGGATTCAGAGAGGCCTTACAATCAGCAGCAATTTGATGGCGTCAACAGATAATAGAAAATAGACATGTATATTAAAACAAAATTTAAAAAATTAAACATTAAACACAATTCTAAAATTATGCCATTATACAAACAAGCCATTATACAAAAATTGTTGTCATTGAGTGATGAGCATTCAGGTATGCAAACTTATCATGACCCCTGATTTCAAGGCATTTAGACCTTGGCAGTCCCTTATTTTGATGACAAGTAGAGACCTTTCCATTTGAAGAAGCATTTGGTGACTAAGTGTCCCTATGCGGTTTGAGAAATGGTTCTTCAAAAACTTTCACTCTCTAAGAATTTTAAAGATAAAAGAGAGAAATTCCAGACTTAGCACACCTTTGAAGTCCAGTGCTGTCATCCTGTAAGCCTTTGCTAATGCTAGAACATTTGAGGTACAAAACACAACTTTTCCAACCCATTTGAGCTTCCAGGTTCCTTGGAGAGTGTTGAAAGCTTGTTTCAGATGATGAATGTGGAGGACAGGGCAAGATTCTGATGAATTCAGGAGTCTGCATTGATAGGGAATCATGTGATGATGTGTGAGTGGATGTACTAAGAAAGCACTGGATGGGAGAAAATGCTACTTCTACCCAGAAATTATTTTCCTTCTCATTTCTTGCAAAACTATATGGTATCAGACTTATTGCAATATTTTTACTCTCAGAATCCAGTTTCTAAATAAGCTTTAAAACTGTATCAGCCTATTAGGAAAATAACCAAAGCGGCTGCATTAAACACATATACTTTTATTAGGTCTGCATGACTATAGCAAGTAAGTTTTTTTACTTACTTATATTTCTCC